CTTCCGATGCGCAATACTTTGAACATTAAATGTATAACAATTTTTTCACAATAAAGTCTTAATATACTCACCTAACTTAGTGACGAATTGATAAAATTTCCTTAACAATTTTCGCCACATGCCGTTGGCTGTGTGTTGTAAGGTAAATAAGTTGGCTGAAGATTAGAGCTTTCGTATATGTATTAAGATAAAATGTAGACACCTTGAGAGTGCGCAGCTTCTATACACGAACAAAATTGCTGAAATCAATTACATATCTTTGTTTTGAATTTAAGAAAATAACTTATTTTTGGGAAAGGCGAAATATTAAAATCCTTTACTCAACATGTTTAGAATGAAATATGCAAATAATTTAAAATGTTCAAAGATTATTCCACCAAAAAAAAAAAAAAGAGTAAGAGAATTAATAATAATAATTTTTTTTCGAGTAGATAAACCTGTTTTTGACTCTCCATTATTTCCAAAAGCATTAGCCAATAAATTAAGATTGACATGAAATAAAAGCTCCTAAAAAAATCCGTCAGGCGTTCGGGTGTTAGAAAAAGTTTAAAATAAGCTGAGATATTAGTTCGAACTAAACAATAAAAATGCCAATAGTGGTAATCACAAATGAACAGTCGAAATATATGTACTCACAATATTTATATTTCCGAGGTAAATCATTATGGATGTATGTATGTGTGTAACTTATATTTATTTTTTATTTATTTATTTTGTTTGTATTTTAATTTTTTTTTTATTTTTTCACATTTTACCTCAGATATTTCTCGTCTTCCCCTGAGTGGATTTTCATATCGATCTTCAAAATTATATTTTTGAAAAATCATACATTTTGTTGAGTATATTGTAACTTCACCGTTATGTGTATACATATTGTTTGGTAAACTCATGTGAAAGGCAATAAAAATAATAAAAGCGTCTCGCATCATCAGACCTGCATTTGGCTCGGCACTCCGCAAACAACGGAGGTGCCGCCAGCAAGGCGTTGTTTCAATTTTACTGCACACTTTTAGGCGTTTAAATTGAATTTATGCCGGGTGCTTGGCATGGGCACACATGTATGCAGACATAGAATGATGATGTGCATGCTTTTGTAAAGTATATATTTGGACGTACATATATACATACATATGTACGTACTAGCGAGTATGCACATGTACATAAATAAAATTGCATTGTTACATTTACGACAAAAACTCCTCTTTCACCCACTTTTCGGTTCTACCCTGTGCTCTTGGCTCAATGGACGAGTGTGGGCGCGCAATTTTAGTAGCCATTAAAGCTGCGCTTGCATGGCGCCGCTCGCTCTGTGAAATTTATTCCCCGCCAGCTGCTGTGCCCCACGTGCCGCGCGTTGTTTAAATTTTCAACCCTCTCACCCTTCACACTTATTCCTGCACCGTTCATAATGCAACGGCATAAATACACACTACACTTGCCAAGCGGAAATGCTGGCTGGCCTCCACTAAGAATGCGAATGCATTCGTGGCGGGCGAAAGTGAGGGCTGAGGATCAAATTGAAAAGAGTGCATGACTGCACTTGGGGAAGGGTTGATTGAGTTGCCGTTAGCGTGCGTTCGCTTCGCGTTATTGTACGGTGTGGGGCTTAAAATGCCAGTGGATATTAAGCCAACCAAAGTATATGAATGTGGGTAAATTCGTATGTACATCAGTACGAATGTTTGCACTTGTCAGCGTGTGTGTGGGTGTGTGTGCCTCTGGCTTGCCTCACCGGCTGGTGGTTTCATTGCATTGCCAAACATAAATTAATTTTCTTCTGCTCGTCAGTCGAGCGTACACTCAGCCAGTGTGGCAGTAAGTCGTCTGTCAATGGGCAACTCCAGCTCGGCACTTCTCCACATCTCCGCTTCGCCTATAGCCCCGTCGTGCTGTCATGTTTTCGCTGGTTTTAACGACATGTTAGTTTTTGCACATTAAACTGTAAAAGTCGAAGGAGTCTAACCATTTAAATGAACATTTTATTGACTCATTATTCATGTAGCTATTTCCAGCTGAGTGAATTCTTTTATTATGGTTCTGTTTTATGGGTTCAACGCAGTGCAGTAGCCAAAATGTCAACGAAAAAAAGATGCAAATGATAAGAAGGAGCTAAAGTTAAAAATAAGAAAATAATCATATGTCTTATAGTTGGTATGTACGAGTATGCAAGGAAAACAGCTAAGATAGTTTCCTTGAATTTCGCATTTAATTTTTTTATTTTTTTCTCCCAAACGGCCCTTAGATGTTATACGAGTAACTTCTCAACTTCCAGTTTGCTTATACGTTTCATTTATACGAAAATACGCGCTTTTGTGTTCCTAAATTTTCTTAAGGTGTTTTCGTAAATATGTGTGTTTATAAGTGTGCAAGGATGAGTCTTCTTTTCTTGTGCGAAGATTTTTCTTCATCTTGTTTTGTCATTTTTATTTGACAGATGTCGGATTACTTGGCGGCAGAGGATAACATTTTCATCATGTCAGGCTGCTGAAAATTCTTACTCACAATAACAGCAGTAATGACAGGAATATGACAGTTGATGCTCTTAAAATGCATACTTAAAGTTTCTTCTCAGCTACTCGCGAAGTTGTCTGGTAATGCATTCAATGTGGTGAATGCCACTTGATAGACCCTTTTTGAACGTCGAGCCAACCACGCAAGTGGTGCGAAAGGAGCAGAAATGAAGTATGCAAGAGCTTAATCGGTTATTAAACCGTTAAAAGGTCCAACTGCGTGCAGTATTTTCCAACAAAAGCTTCTTCAATACAATTACAACCACACTCTATAATAATAGCATCACCCCAGTTTGATCTTGTAAATGTTTTTCCGAGTTTTAGACGAATTTTCCGCGCTTTGATTTAACCAAATTTATTTAGTCCAAAATAATTTTAATAAAATATTGAATAAAGTATTTGTTGTCAAAGCTTCAAAAATTTTGTTTAAACGGTGCGATGCTCTTGGGCTTATGGATGTTATTTATTACTCTGCTTTGGAGATAACTTTTGCAAATATAGATTATTATATAATTAAGTTTAGTTTAGTTTACTAGCGACATCGTTCGTATAGAACTTTAGGCTGATTCTAATAAGAGTTTTACTCGGTTCTTGCATTATTTATTTTATTATAATTTATAATCCATATATAATAGGTACGAACTAGAAATAAAAGTCTTACACATAATACATCTAGGCCTACAGAAATATTCAAATATGGCGGCGAAGAGCTGACAAGGTGTATATGGTCGGGCCAAAGCATGACCGGCGATTAGAATTTAAGTGTGCCCTGCCCAATCCATAAAAAAGAGGACCCCACAGTCTGCGCCAATTACCGTGGGATATCTTTAATATCGCCTATAAGGTTCTGTCGAGTGTCTTGTGTGAAAGACTGAAGCCCACCGTCAACAAACTGATTGGACCTTACCAGTGTGGCTTCAGACCTGGTAATTCAATCATTGAGCAGATTTTCACCATGTGCCAAATCTTGGAAAAGACCCGTGTAAAGAGTATCGACACCCACCATCTCTTCATCGATTTTGAGCCCCCAGAATACCACGTGACCTAGCCACCGTAACCGCTGCTTCTTGATTCGCTGAACTATAGAAATGTCACCATATAATTCGTACAGCCCATATTTCAAACGTCTGCTATATTTACCGTTGTCAACGAGCAAAGGACCATAAATCTTACGCAAAACCTTTCTCTTGTAAACTTCTAACACCGACTCATCAGATGTTGTCATGGTCTATGCTTCCGCACCATACAGCAGAACGGGAACGAGGACTTTACTTATCAATTGCCTACTCAGCCCAAAGTGGCACCTGTTGGCAAAAGTGATTCTGCGTTGGATTTCCAGGCTAGCACAGTTGTTGGTGTTAATACTGGTTCCTAAATATACAAAGCTATCTACAACTTCAAAGTAACGGGGGGCCATGAATGTTTGTTTGATGACAGGAGATATTTCGCCTTTATTCAATACCATACCCCTTTGCTTCGTTTTTTTAGCGAGTCTAAAGAAAGCAGAACTAACGGCGCCGTTGTTGAGGCCGATAATGTCAATATCATCGGCATACGCTAGCAGCTGTACACTCCTATAGAAGATTGTACCATCCCTATTCAGCTCTGCTGCTCGTATTATTTTCTCCATTCTCAAATTAAAAAAATAACACTATAAGGGGTCGCCTTGTCTGAAACCTTGTTCGGTACCGAACGGCTCGGAGAGGTCCTTCCCGATCCTGACGGAGCATTTGGAGTTGCTCAAGGTTAGTTTGAGGAGGTTTATCCCAAGATAATTGGCGCAGACCTTGGGGTCCCCTTTTTATGGATTGAGCGGAGCTCACTTAAATTTCAATCGTCGGGAATGATTTAGCCCGACCATATTCTGCAAAGTAGCTGATGTGTGCACCTTGTCAGCTCTTCACCGCCATGTTTGAATAGTTCTGCTGGTAGTCCGTCAGCTCCCGCCGAATTGTTGTTTTTTAAGCGGGCAATTGCTATGCTTAAATTTGTGTCTATCCGATTAGCAAAACAGTGTAGACCATTGTTTTTAAAATCAATTAAAAAAAATTGTGAGCTATCTGAATCATTAGATTATCTATACTAATCTCTCATAATATTATTTCAGGTGATGATTTTTTTTTTATCTGAATCTGAGCAGTTTTCAATTTGACGCTCAAAAAACCCGTACTTTTCATGACTCGGGAAATTCTGTGTCGGTTGGGCGGGAGGACAATTACCGCTAGGCTTAATATTAATATGGTACCATATCCAAAAGTCAGTTTCTCTCAAACTTTGTCATTTTTTCTCTTCGAAACTAAATTGCGAATTTATTATTACGAAAAAAATTACAATTAAGTAAATGTTAAAGTATTTGATTCTCCATAAATTAAGCGCTGAAGTATGTTTTAATTTAGACTCCTAATACACATACATATGTCGATAGAAATATGTTTTACTGATTCTTTATTTTATTCTTTATTAACATGCTCACTTTTACCTTCTTTCTAGGTTCTGCTCAACTTTAATATGCATATATAAAGTAAATAAAGACTTCCAATAACAATTGTGAGCAATAAAATAGCAACGAAGCTTTCAAATATTTTCACGCTAACTAAAATACCACAAGACGCCTACAAAAACAAAAGGGAGAAAAGAAAAAGACGTTTAACCATGGGAATGAAATGTGTCAGATTGCACAAAGCACAATAATCCATCGTTGGTCCTATACGCTTGGGAATTAGTGATCGCTTCGAATTTATCACGTGTACTTTGATGATTCGTATTGAATGCTGCAATTGAGGCGTTTTCGCGCCCATCGTAATGCAATATTGGAGTGGTATTGCCAAAACGTGCAATAGATACGTTGTGTCGCCACGCCCCCACTACCACTAGATGCAGTGGAAGAAGAAGTTTACTCGATTGAAAGCAGCTACAGGAAATTCGCGTGCGCGAAGAATGCTTTGTTGTGGACGAAGAAAGGTGAGTGATACTATGTATGTATGGATGTATTTAGACACAGATCACAACCACAGCTCGCCGTATTTTTCGTATTTATAGTATTCGGTCGGGTGAAAAGAAATTCTCTATTCTTAGCATGTGCTGAGCTTGGAAGAGGATTCAAGGAAATAGCAAACAAATTAGCGAAAGAAATGAAGGCAACTTAGTCGATAGACCTTTCTATCCAACGGGTACCGTACAAATATAGGCTTTAAAGAAGAGTTAAGCTCAGAACAAAAGCATATACCTAAGTAATAGCGATTGGTATAAGGTAGCGAGTTTAAAACAGACCATACTTGGCTATAATACCAAAAGATTTTAATAGTAGTTTTGGGCGGTTTGTTGGGAAGTTGAGATCCTGGCCGAATTCGGCTGCACCTAAGCTCTTGAGTAGCTTAGTACACTATGTTTTTGCGAACGTTTTGCTCGATTTAAAAACTGATTTAAGTTTCCTCCATACATGTGTGCCAAGCTCCTAAGGCTGCAGCAGGAAACATAGGGACAGATATAATATTTCCTTCGCCTAATGGCCGATCACTCTCAAAGGTATTTTTCCCTTGTTTCGTCAACTTCTGTGCGCGCTCTGGATTTAGATGATTCAACTTTACCAAGCTTGTGGGGATGATAAGTATCTATTTCTATATTATTGGATGAGTGCATAAGTTCGTGCCCGATTTCAAGTGCAAACTAATTTTTTGAAGAAAGCGCTTTTATTAATCAATTATGTATTCGCCATCATGTTCGGCAATTCACTTCCAACGTTCAACCAATTTACGGATGCTTGATTCCGAGAAATCGCGCGGTTTCTCGTTGAAAAAGGTGTCAAGGTGGTTTTTGACGTCTTCCACATTTTTAAATTTTTTTCCATTCAAATTGTTCTGCAGCGATCGAAACAAATGATAATCAGAAGGTGCAATGTCGGGTGAATATGGGGAACGCGGCATGATTTCCCAATTCATCTCCTTCAGTTTGGCCTTTAGTTTTGGAAAAGAACTCCTTTGCGATTGGCGAAAATCGGACGTTTTTCATCAATTGCTTTCTTCAATTCGACCAATTGCTGACAATACTTGTTGGCAGTGATCGTTTCTCCAGCTGGCAAGAGCTCAAAATAGATCACGCCTCGGATATCTCACAAAATGCACAGCAGTACTTTCATCGGATGCAATCCACCTTTCGACATCGGTTTCGCCCCTTCGTGTGCCTGTTTCCATGTTCTTTTGCGTTCAACATTGTTGTACAGGATCCATTTTCCATCACCAGTCACGAGCCGATCCAAAAAAGGTTTGTTTTTGATCCGTCGAAGCAAAGAAATTGCTGTTGACAAACGGTCCACTTTGTTTTTTTCCACTCAACTGATGTGGCACCCATGTATCGAGCTTCAAAGTGTACCCAACCTTTTTTAAACGACGAAACGCAGTTCATTTGTTGACGTTCAATTCACTGGCAACCTCTTTCGTTTTTTCCTTTGCGGAATTCGTTTAACATAATATGACGCATATGATCTTTTTCGTTGTCCATCTTCCATGCGGCTTTTCACAAAGCAACTCAATTCAAAATGAAGTTAATTTATGCTTGCCAGCGGAATCGGGTACGAACTTATGCACTCATCGTATATTAGTATCAGTTGAGCTTGTTCACCTTCAGTGTTTATCCACAGTCCATTGCTTCATATACCATTTGATGGCGCTGAAAGATCGGAGACAGTCGACGGTGACAGACTTGCTAGTGCGAGCTAGATTGTCAGCCTTTTCATTACTTTCTACAACCGTTTCGCCAGGGAACCAAATGATATTCACTGTATTGCTATTTTGCATATTCTTACGCATTTGGACTAAGTGTGTCAACAACTTTATTGCCACTTGGATATCCACAAGAAACCGGACATATTCTCCCACTGAAGCGGTTGCTCATTTGATACCTTTATCATTATTATTATACATCACATTTATGTTAATTGACTTAATATCAAAGATACCTCCTAGGGCCTAATAGCGCCTTGTGGCTTACACTAAATAGTTTTTGGCACTTTATCGCATCGCATTAGCTTGGACTATATTTGTCGCCAGAATAATATGTAGAAAAGACTAAAATACCTAGGTCCGTAACAGCTTGAGATCAATTACATGATATCCTTGAATCTCCTTACAGGATTGCTTAAGGCACGGATTATTTTATAAGTTCGTATAGAGAATAAACCTAAGGTCGTAGGTCTTCTACCTACATACGTTTTGACGCTAAAGCAATATACTGAATACGAAGTTTTGAGAACTCTCCAATAATCTTATGAGATACCAGTTTATTGTGAGGTATTAAATATTTTGAAAATCAGAATATGAGCTGTAAATATAAATATAACCTAGGCCACTAATCGCAGAAGCCATAGAAGGCTCTTCCCATGAGCTGCTGGTAATGGACTTGGGATCGATCTACGCCAAAAAGTCCGGTTTACTTTTAAGTCCTGTGACTTACAATAAATTTGGTGAAAAATTGGCGTTGGGTGGAATTACCATTGAGAAATATTTTTTTCGGGAAGCTGACCTAGCATCGATTCGATGGTTCGGCTTTGCTTAATATGTGGAACATATACAATATATAAACGGTTATAAATTATAATAAAATTATTAAGGTAATATATACTAGAACCATCTTAAAACACCATGCCGAAGAAGTACCGAACAAACTTTAGTTCTTAATAAGAGAGGGTATTAGTGTGACCCATCTTTGTTAAAAAAAAAAGGATTAGCATTCTAGGTAAGATCTGTGTCTCGTCGTTTATGTCTATAAATACCTCCCTAGCAAGCTCGATATAAGAAAAAATTTCCACTTAAAAATGCTCAACCGGAATCTGGTCGTCATACATCTAGAATTCAATAGAAGCATAAATCCTAGAATTTTATATTTATATTTAAGCATGAAAAAAAGTATTGAACTTTAAGTAATCGAATCAGAATTACTAGAGAATACTTGCAGATCACTTAATATGGTGGCTAAGTAGCACTCTCTATGCTATACCGGGTGGAGAGGTGACGATAGAGTTTGCAATGAAGTACACTTCACTTCAATTTTCTGTAATTGAATTTTCAATTTCAGTTAAAGTAATTCAAAAAAATATCTTACAGTTAAACTCTTAGTTTCCAAAAAATAATTTCAATAATTTCATGTTTCTTAGGGGTTTCTGTTAGTTTGCTTGACGCTAGAGCCTCTTTTTGAAGGAATATTTTAGGATTTCAACAGTGATAAATAAGTTTTTTTTCTAAAATTTCTATAATAAGATTAAATATTTTGTAGAAAAAATCTTAATGTTTTATACCCAAAATTTTGTTCAACAGACAACATAAAATGTTTAACTGCTATTCTGCATGATGCCTCTCTGTAAATCATTCAAAATTATTAGAATTATGGGCGATTTGTAACAGTTGAAGCGATTTTTCGGCCGAGCTCCACCTCCAATTTGTCGTTTTGCGTCTTGAAGTTTTTCCAACAAATGGAGGGACCTACAGTTCATACTAAACCGCCTCCGAACGGCTGATGGTTTATTTACGAGAAGTCTTTATTTCTTGTCCGAGATACACTCGGAGGGGTGGAAATTCCCTGTCGAGGGGCGACCGTAATTCGTTAACTAAATTTTTATTTAAATTAATTTTCGTTGACATTCTGATGTTGGTTGCACCGAGATTTGTAGCCAAGCCTTCCGAATGTAAGTACGCTATGTTAACTACTCGGCTACCGCGGCCGCCGCACTATATATATGTATGCCTTATATAAATTTGTATTTAATTAAGCTTACGAGCGCATAGCTCAATACAGCCTGAAGGGCATTAACGTCAAATACGCGAAATTGCAAAATATTTTGCTTTCCTGTGCAAAGTACATATTATTATCAAAATCTATTCATACATACATGAATATACATATATATTTATATATATACAGGGTGCTCCAACTTTTATGTCGGTATGTAAACGCTGAATAACTTTCACATTTACCAACCGAACGATTGCATCAGATATGTTTTGGAAACGTCAATTCGGAACAATTTTTGCCATGAATCGCTTCTCACCGAAACAACGCACTGAAATAGTGACACTTTACATCGAAAACAGTCGTTCTATTGTGTTAAGGGGCACACCTAGTGTAATGGCCTAAAAATGGTGATTTTTGGGAATTATTATTAAAAACATACCTTATCAATTAGTTCAAAATTTTAAGAATATATTTATATATATTTCAAGAATATACAATGAAATTTTTGTAGAAAAAAATTAAATATTTTTTAAGTTATAGTCGATCTCCAACGGCGCGAAAAAAAGGTCCTTCACTGCTGCAGTGATTCCGGCCTTCTTCTTGGATGAAATCTAAAAAAAAAATCTTCTACTAGATAATATTGTCTGTACAATGATCTACGATAAAAAAAAAATCAAAAATTGATAATATGGCGGCGTTTTAAAAAAAATAGTCGAATTTTACCCAAAATTTTGGTCGTTTTTGATCAGATCAAAAATCGATAGGTCGTAGTACGGAGAACTATATATAGAACATGTAAAAAAAATTCGATAGTGATCGGATCATTTGTTTTTGAGTAATCACTGCAGCAAATTAGGAAAATGCTGTTTCGAGAAAAACGCGTTTAAAGATAAAATGATCGTTTTCCCTCGTAGCTAATGAGACTCTCTAGCTGCCGAGCGGCTGCTCCTTAAATTGCTATAACTCAAAAACTATTTGAGATATCGATTTGATTTTTAATATGTTATTTTTAAAGGTGTAATGTACCGAAATATGAAAAAACAATCGATTTTTTTGAAATTTCACATTAGGTGTGCCACCTCACTCAACGTGATTATCGGAAAAAATATCGCGGCAAAAAAGTCACTATATGACAGATCGCCATTTTGAAGGGTTATATAAAAAGCAAGTTTTACGCCAACCAGCCTTAAACTGATCTTAAGGATGAAATCGACGCTATAACACTCGAGATGCTCAGA